TATCTATCTTGTCTTAAATAAAAAAGTAGAGTGTAATGCCTTTATTTGTCTTCCCTGATGAAAAGGGAAACTGTAAACAGTACATTATTCATAAAGCAGTCCCTAAATAGGCTCAACCAATTATGACTGTATGTGATTGTATAAAATATATTGTAAAGTGTATGTTAAAAATGTGCTCCCACTTTATGCGCCATCAAAAACTTCAGAAGATGACAAAAAACATTCATTCTGTCAAAGTTTTGGGGTCAATCTGGGAGGAATCCTCTCATCTCGAACAGATCTCTCCCTTAATATTGGTGACTGTGCAGTTATCAAAAAGGAATATGTTAAAATCTTAATTTAACAAGCCACTGAAAGCAATATCCCTAAGAGTGTATTTTCATCCTCGAAATATCTCCATCCATCCATCCATCCATTTTCTTCCGCTTATCCGGGGCCGGGTCGCGGGGGCAGCAGTCTAAGCAAAGATGCCCAGACCTCCCTCTCTCCAGACACTTCCTCCAGCTCCTCCGGGGGAATGAAAATCTTAATTTAACAAGCCACTGAAAGCAATATCCCTAAGAGTGTATTTTCATCCTCGAAATATCTCCAGAGTCTGTAATTCCCTTTCTATCCTTTTTAGTGCAGTAGGGCTGACCCGTGCTAGCGCAGTGCACCACACTGTGGCGTTTCCATTCCTAGATACATAGCAATATTCATATTTGAATCTCTGCAAACAGAATACACATGCACACTAGAAAATATGATCACACAGTCCTCAGTTCGCATTGTTATTCATGTTGTGTAACTGCTTCTGTCATAAAATCTGTAATAGAGCACTGGCCCACAATACATCTTTGGTTTATTATCCAATAAACCTACATGAACTCTCATTTTAATGGCTACTGGAATCATTGTTATCCAGTATCCAAAGGAAACTGTTGTAAGTTTTCTAAATGTAAGTTTTCTTTGGACTTTTAGTTCAAATGGTGGGCACAGCCTATTCACTGGGCAAACCTTACTGCAGCCTGTACAATAGTTGCTCTCCTTTTCCTTTCTGGACTTGAGTGTTCACAAATTGCTCAAGGACACTTAGAACAGGTCACTAGTAATGGGCAGCATTTTTAGCTGTTACCATTAATGAACCACTGACCAGTTTATGGGATGAGCTTGATGGCACCTGTAGATAAATGTTAAAAAAAGAAACCTGAGCTCACTGACTTATAGTGAGCACCTCCAGTTAACATCAACTCAACCAATGGAAAAGAAGGTCTGTGTTTAAATCATCTGACTAGCTTTACAAAAGTGGAAGGGTTGCTAAAGGTGGTTCATCACTCCCATAATACTCACGTTCTGCTAACAAACCTGACTAATGTGAGCCTGTGTGCTAATACTGCATTATAGACTGACCTCGCTCTGAAAAAAAAGAGTTTATTACAACCCACCAAAGCAACATCGTTCAGAGTAGGTCCAATCACTAAAAGCAGGTGAAACCACTAAAATCGGGTACAACTGGGGAAGAAACACTGGTTGACAGGTTGTAAACAAACCCAGCATCCCATATCATCTAAACCACCTTATTTATTTAAAACTTTGAATGAGCACGTTAATCATCTCTTACGACACAAGAGACTGTGTGCCTGTGCAGCTACACTTGAACTGTGATGGGACTGCTCCAAACAATGTTCTGATTCCAGCTGACTGTGACACAAAGCAGATCGTTTCAAACAACCCCAGGCCTGTTTGAGCTGCTCCACACATTTGGAAATAAAACCAAGCTAATATGAAATATAAGACGCTCCTTATCACTTGGCAGTTTGAGCAACAACATTGAAACACAGAGTGAAGGGAGAGAGGAAGCAGAAAGCCAAGATGAGAAAAATCTGTTTTACCCACTGTTTTATTTGTAGAATGGTTTGCTCCTTATTAGCCTTGTTTACTTTTATATAAAGTTGTATTTATGGTCACACTCCCAAGGTGTGTCAAACACATTTCTTTTGTGTTGGACAGTCATGGCTGATGGAAGGTCCTGCTGAGACAGATAATGATGTGATTGAATTTCAATTTAAGAGCTCCTTCTCGCACTTCACATGTAACCGAACTGACGTCCCCCTCCCAGACATAAAACCAGACAGCTGCTTAAACTTTACCTGTCATTTCAGTTCTCTTGCTTTCTCCTTCCTTCATCATTGTAAAAAAAAACAAAAAAAAAAAACATCATCACATTTTCAAGCTGATAAAAAAAAGTTCCACTGTTCACATCAGTTACTATATTGCTGATTTAAAGAGCAATCTAAACTTGGGTGGGTTGAAACCTTCAAGCATGTTGCAGATCCAGCCCAGTCAGTGGTGTCACAGCAGGTGTTGTGCCTCTGACAGCTGTGGAAAACATCCGCTGTGATATCACTGAGCAAAAAACGGACAAGCTTTGAATTTTTAAAAATACATTTCTCTTAGATTTTCCTGTAAAAATAGCTTTAAAAACAACTCTTCTGTTGTGTGTGTGTGTTCTCAGTTTGATGGTCTGCAGCTTGAAGTGAGTTGCATTAACACACACAAGCCCTCTCCTCTCCACTGCATGAGTGTTGATCCAAACCAGCGGTGTATGGAGGTGGGGGGGGCTGGTTGCTAGGTTTCATATTCCTCCAGTTACAAAGCTCTTTGATACCTGCGTGTCTGTATGCTTTCACAGACATGCACCCACTTACAAGGCTCAGCCCAGGCACCTATGAACACAAAAAGACCAGTGGGTAGGCCTGGTTTTCTCCAAACCAGGGCAACGACAGTCACCTTTTCACCCAGCGAAATATCAAGCAGCCTCTCTGCTGGGCAGCTATACAGCTGTCTAACCACACTAACAAGGTGAACAGACAGTGTGAGCTGTTGTGGTGGGTGTCTGTGCTCCTTCAGAAGAAGCCGACAGCAGCCGGACTGGCACCACTAATAATGTGTCAGTGCTGCTCTGCCCCTCGCTGGGAGAACAGCCGTGCGGTTCACACTGGGTGCTGCTGCAAGATATTAAAACTGGCGAAATTTCCCACAAAACACACCTGGCTTATCAGCCTGGAGTGAATCACAAAGTAGAGCTGCAATTAATCAATCAATCAATCAATAAAATAAAATAACTCCATCCCTGCTGTGGATCATTTTGGGGATGACAGCCGCCGGGAAAAGCACAAGCAGTGATGCATGAAAATGCGATGGCTGAAGACTGTGAAATAAAACTTCAGCCACTTATGCTGGCTTTTAAGTGCAGATTTGGACTTTTGTTTTAATATAATACTCTCACGCCATCTCTATGGATGTTTAAATAATTATCTGTTACTGTAATCTTTTCTCTTGCATGGCTACTGGGTAAGCAACAAGGGACTAAAAGCACATTTCTCAGTCTGTGCAAAAATAAAGCCCAGCTGACGCTTTAGCATCACCTGGTTCTGAACTTCTGAATCACTGCCAGCCTGTCGGATGTGTTCAGCAATTTAAACTAACTCTTTTCCCTGTTTGGGCAAACAATGAGCCAATCAGGGCTTTGTAGGCGGGCTTATGAACAGGAACACCAACTTCTTAAAAAGCTAGGCAAGAAAAATAGCTTAAGAAATGCCCAGAAAATGGGCAAAGAGCATGAATGTAAAGATGAGTCCATGCAACTGTAGAAGTTAGCAGACTTCCAGAACTAACAACTCTAACAGAGTTTTAATTTGTTGTAAAGAAAATAAAGTTAAAGCTACAGTATGCAACCTTTTCCAAAGTTGTAGTTGTAGAAAGCAACCTCAAAACCTGTCTTAATGTAGAGAGGTGCTGTCAAAGGGGTTTCATGTGATACCTTAATTTACATACTGTAGCTTTAACTGATGGCTTAGTGGATTAGTGACGACTACCAATGCTTCTGTGCCAATCGAGAATGATGCCAGTGGCATGAACAAATCTCTTGCTACTGAATGTTCAGTTCAGCTAATGTGAACACAATCTCAGGTTAAAATGGATAAACGTCAAGTGAGCAGAGGACTGATTACAGCTACCAATAACGGATCATATAGGACACACTGTATTAAGATAAAAAGATTCAAACTTGTCTACTGAGCCAAATGTCAGTTGCATAGTGCATCTTTTAGCACAAGGACCAGAATTTCAAAGGCTGCATAAAACTAATTATTAAGTAAATACAGTTGTAAAGTGCATTTTAACAAAAAATAGAGACGACAATGACTTTTGCTTCAGACATGATGTTAGAGAAGATGATGTGCATCCGGCTTGGTTTCTATCTTCTTTTTATTAGCCTTTACTGCTGTGCTGAGGCTTATTTTGCAGCCTGCATTCTAATGAGAAAAAAAAAGGAAGGAGGGAGGAAGTGTGGGGGGTGGGGGGATTGTGTAACTCTGAGTTACATAACACAATGTGCATGGCCTTCTCTCTGTGCCTCGGAGAGAGACACAGCAGAGCGAGGGAGAGTGAGCAGGAAGGAGAGGGTTGGAGGATTTGAAAGGGTGATGGTGTTAATAAGGGCGATCTAAAGAGAAGTGTGCCTCGCTGGAAAATCACACCTCATTACGACACTGTTTCTAATAATGCTTGGGAAGTGAGAGGACGTGGAGAGTAGACCCTTGGCTTGCCTTAGATTAAAACTCAACCATCAAGTGGTATTCAAGTGGGTTTGCTGGGTAATTAAAGTCAATAAAATGTTATTGCTTTCACCCTCGGCCCACCTTCGGCCGGGGGCGATGAACTGTCGGACATTTGCCCAAAATTTTGGAAGAAGATAGATCACTACTGGGATTTAGACCACCTATGTCTATGTTTATAGTCACTTACTTTTGTAGGTTTCTCTTCAATTATATATGTAAATGTACTTTAAGTTTAGTTTGTACTTTGCTTTGGTGTGTAACTAATTTAGAGAATGTATTTTTGGCTGCATCTTTTGATTCAGTATGTTTGCTCCCTGAGACGTCAGCTAAACGAGCCATCATACTTTTTATTCATCCAGTATAAAATACTTCAGACCGAAAAACAAAATATGTGTTAAAAAAGGAGTTTATTTGTGTTTTACATCTGATCTAATACAACACTACACACACTTCTACACAAGTAGAAAGCCTGTGCTCATTTGAGTCTTGCACTCAGCAAGTGTATTAAGAACAAAGATCAGTCACTGTTTTGAGGAATCACTTTCTGTTTGCTGCTTGTAACAACGATCAGTTCATGAGTATATGACTCTCACACAGAACGTCTCCTCCGTCTTCTCCTCCAGGTTGTTCACATAGACCAGGATCTCCACTGAGCCTGGACTCTGGCTGGGGGCGAACCGTAGTCCGATGCTGCAACTCTCTCCCCCGCTGAGCTGAAAATAGTGAAGACACACACAAACGTGCTTCTTTTTAATCTGAATGATTTTGATTTGAGTTTTCTGTCTTTCCAGCTAGTAACACTAAACCAATTGTGACCATGTCCACATAGACCAAATCCTCATAACCTTGATGAAAGGTCTTCTTTGTGTGTAATAATAGAGTAATTTATAGTGGGAAGCTTTGGAAATGTTATGATGTGATTTAGATTTTTAGGGGTCACCAGTCTATTTAAAATTGATCATTAAAGCTGATTAACAGTTTTGTCTGCACAAGACTTTGCAAGTGTCTGTATTCATCTAAGACTCAATGCACTGTTTACATTAATACAGAAGACTGACAGTGATAGTCGATAATGCTTCAAGCCCTGATTGGATGTCACAAACTTGCAAGTGATCTGACTCTGTAAAGCAAACAGGACAGATAAAAAAGACCATCAGGTTTAGTTAAAATGGAAAAATACATTATCATAATTAATGTGAATACAATTATTATTGTTATTATTAAAGAGAAAATACACCTGTTACAGTTGTTTCTTTTGACCCTGCAAAGCCCTTTTCTCAGGCTTGATCCAATAGGCAAGAAATCAGCCTCTGGGCCTCCACAGTGACCATGCAGTAAGAGTCAGATTTAAAACATAGGAAAGGTTTGCCCTTTAGAGCTGAACAGCATTCCCCAAATGCAACAGTACTGTCCTTAACGTATATTTTAACACTAGCTGGAGAAAAACATTTTCATTCTCAAACACGTATTCCCTGCTGCCCAGAGAACTCTATTTACAAAATAAAGGCTCCACATAACATAAAGATTCTCTATAAGAGTTTTGAGGTCTTTCTGAAAAATGGGAAAATATAGCTTAAGAATACCAAGTAGTTTTATCTGTGGTCAACTGTCTCAGGGTCCTGTTTTCATTCAAAGCTCACTACCATTGTTTGTTCTTGGAACTTCTTCACACTCTCTAAGGCAACAGTCCAACAGCTCATTACTCTCACGCTCTTAAAGAAGTCAGTGCAGGACCTTTTCAAAAATCTGACACTTTTAGGTAACCACCACTGCTGTTGGCATTAACTGTAACTATATGGCTGTGAAAAACTAATGCAGTACTGAAGTGTAAAAGTGCAGTGTGATAAATGTCCTGCACATGGAGCAAAAGCCTGTGCACACAGTGCTAGTGTGCTTCCTTGCAGTGGGTTGCCTAATTTAATGAGGGTTGTCTGAAACCAGAAATTATTTCAAATGACTTGCATTCTCAATTGTTCTAACCTCATTGTTCTAACCTTATTTTCTCTCTGTTAGTGTCTCTCCATCCAGACTGCATTTGTGATTATTCTTTTTACTAATTAAAGGTTCACAATGCCTAATGTTTTATGCTGTCAGGGCTCACTGTCATTCCTTTTGTTTTCACAGTGCTTCAGTCAGACTAGAAGTGTCTTCTTGTATTTTCTGTAATAGGCAGAAACAGATATGTGAGTCAATTTAGGGGATTTATGCTGTAATCTTCCCCAGAAGCAGAGCAATATTGATCTGTGCCTTGCTTCCCCTCCTGTCAGTGTCAGCTGGCAGGATAGTTGTGTCAAAAAAGAGCAGAGTGTCTCAAGATTTGCTTAATTCTCTGGGCACAGGAAATTCTTTATAAAACACCTGGAGCCTTGCTGACAGGATGGAAAAACAATGAGATGTTTTTCACTCTGTCTAATTGATGCAGTGTCTCCTGGAGAGCAGCAGTGAGACTCTTTAAAACCTTATGTGGAAACAGACTCCCATTGCATCTCATTCATTTATTTGTTAATTTAAAAGGCTGGTTTCCCATTTGCCATTTTATCACACTTCAGCAAATGGGAGGCAATGATGGCAGCGGTTCTTGCACTTCATGTCTGCGTGTGAGTGAATCAGCTATTAGAGACACCGAGGCTGACAACTACAATAAAATAATAGCAGTAATGACTTTGTTATATTCCTCCTGTTTGGTTATGTAGGCAAACAAGGAAATTATTAACTTGTCACAGCTGCAAGGTTCCTTGGTGATGTATGAGATGGGTGTACTTCTGTTGCACTTCTCATAACACTTTTTAGTCAGTTTACTGTTGCCAGTCTGTAGTGAACAGTAAACTGTATGTATGATGCATAACCAGTGATGTTACTGCACAGCCAATATGCCATGATTCTGAGGCAGATGCCAGGCTAAAATGACAGTGTGTGACATTGCTGAAAAAGTGAGTAGAACAGATGCATTTCTATTTCGCTCAGTACAGCTGTCTACACAAGCCATGTAATGGCTCATGTTTCACTCACACCACATGTGTGTATTCATGACTCAAAGCATATTTTTTACACTTAAAGTCTATTTCGTTCCATTTTACCTGCGTAACTGTAGTGACTGTGTAGAGGGCTCTGAGCGCTGTCAAATGTGAGCAACTTACACTCAAAACTGTGCCTGAAAGCATCCTACATAGCAGCGGTCCCCAAACTTATTCCCTTGGAGCCCCATGACTTGTATGTAAGAAGAGTGAGGGAGATTATGAAGGAAGAAAGTGAGAATTAAGCGGTGAATCAGAGACATAAAACATTGTTTTCTGATCAGTTACTCTTTAAAGTACAGTACAAATAAATGTAGCCACCCTCCTGGAAGGATTTTGGGTCACATAGGCCAAATATACCTGAGGTCCTGCTGCCTGTTCTGCTGCACCCTCTCTCTGCTCTGCACCTTGTGTATGTGGCTAAGCCCTGTACAGACACACAGCAGCAGTCCAGCATCCTGCAGCAGTGTAAGAAGCGAGCACCATGGCAGTACGAGAGACCGTGTGCAGAAATATTCTGCAAAACTTTAATGAGGAGCACTGGAAAACACACTTTTGCAAGTGGAGCTAGTCCGAACATCAGATATTTACCGCCCTTGCTTTTGCACACACACTTTTAAAGTAATTTTATATATTATTATTATTTTATTTAATGTGTGCACATCTAATTTTGGCAAGGTCACAACCTCAGAGCAGTGTATCCCTTGCACACCCCCCAGTGATCTCTGGACCCTGGGAACTGTACAAACACTAATGGTGCACTGAAGCTACTGGTCACCTGCTAGTTGTGCTGTTTTCTGTATTGTAGACCTTATGATGCAACCTGTTCTGCAACAGCTACATTTTCAGTAAGGTTTAGAGTTCATTGCTGACATTTTTGTTTTATGCTGAAAACATCTTTGCTGCTACACAAAGCAATTTAAAGATTCTGCACAATTAAGAATTGAATTAAATATGTGAAAATTATGTTTAAAGGGTGTGATCACTACGAGGCTTTGAAAACACTAATGCTATCAATATGCTCAATTTGTGGCTGTATTTCTAATTTGTAGAGTTCCCAGATGCTTTTTTCCAGTTATTTATTTTTGACAGAAAGAAAAAACTAATAAAAAGGATTTTTACCATTGGTCAATAACACTTTCAATTAAAGCTAACACAGGTAACATTTTGAAATGAACTGTACCAATCCAACAGGCAAGCTTTTGTCAAGGAGGCAGGTTCCTTTTTTGTCTAAGTGTTAATCGAAGTATTGATTTTACACTTAATAAGAGTAAAGGAACTGCATGACCCCCTTATCTCACTTGAAATTTATCCTCCTTGAACTGGAGCAGGTCTGGATGGTCAGAGCGGAGCAGGAAAGTGCGTCTGCTGGTGTAGGGGTTGGTGTAGGTGATTTTTCTTGAGCTGCCACGTTCACCACCAACTGGGACACGCACCTCAAATGCCTGCACAAACAAACATGCGGACAGTTAGCGCATTAACTGGCTGGTCACTAAACTGTTAAGAAAATGTTAAGATATGGCCAGGTCCAAAGGGCTGATAAAATCAGATCTTCTAAGGTGACTGTTCACATGAACAAACTGCACAAAGGACACAGGAAGAATACACTTTTGTAACACTGCTGTTTTTCTGATCAAGATCAGAAAGTGCCGATAAAATCACGTCCATGTATTTCTAATTTTTAGAGTTCCCATCAAGATCAGAAAAACAACAGGGTCTCAAACAAATGATGAGGTGAGATGAAATAACACTATATTTACAAAGCCATTTTGCATCAGAAACTTTGATAGACAAATCTATGTTGTATCCAATTACAAACTCTGTTGACGGTGTCAGTCTTTGGGAACAGAGTGCCACAGTGCCTAAAATGGTAGGAACTCACACATTAGCTTGGGCACACCGTTCAGTTTTATATAACACTTCTCTGTGGGAGTAATAACTGCTCCACATACAGCACGAGTCATGATTTGCAGTCAGTCATGAGAGAGGTGTAGATGGCACAAATCCTCTTCTGTACTTCTATTTAATACTCTGTGTTAAATTAGTGCACTGTTAGCAACCAACTGACAGTTGAGCTAGTTTGATGGGCTATTGTAGTATGTTACAGTGCAGGCGACATGTACAGTAACTAGTCTGTTTCCAGATAATGTGAGAGCCCAGTAGCCTGTGCTGTTTTACTGTTGATGAAATGACAAAACGGGGTCTTTGTGACTTTACAGCATTCATAAAATATCATGAGATTGTTCATTATGACCCTCGACACTGCAGTAGTCCGCTCTTGGCTTTTCAAGCATATGTCTAGCGCCACGTTTGCAGTTATCCTGCTGCTAACACCTGCAGTTACTAAAGCCACACAGTCTGGAGAATCCAGCAGCTACTATTTGATGGGTGAGAGGGACAGATTACTATTTTCATGTAGCAAATCCAGCAAAAAATCCTACTCATACCTTGGAGAGCACAGGCTGGTGGACACTGAGACAGAGCAGCCAGGCAGCAACCAGCCGTTGGTGCTCCACATCCACCGCGTTCACATACAAGAAACGGCTGCCAACACGCCATGGCTGCACCCTCAGCTGGAGCTCCTGCACCGCTGCTGGAGGCAAAACAAACACACCGGATGGGTCTACCTACAGGGAATGTAAAGGAGAGGGCAGCCAAGGTTGATCAAGAGAAATAGAGACACTGACCAAATAACAAAGAAAGTGTCACAGTATTGAAGAGAAGAGATACAGTACATTTTTTAAAAAGAAGGTGAAAAAAAGATTGGGAAAAGGACAGAGTTAATGGAAAAAGGTGGTTAACGGAGTTAAAGGAAATAAAGGAAAATTAAAGATTAAAGGTGGGCGAGAGAATGAGAGATTGAGGTTCGATGAAAAAAGCACGGAGAGGTGGTAGACAATGAAATGAGAACAAGCAGAAGCAGAAAAGTGACAGAGAGACGAAAGAATGTGAGAATAAGATTTACTGCACAGCTCCTTTTCAATCTGTTGAGAAAAGTAAAGCTATTCTCTGGCAGTGAGCTTTATCCTGTTTTATAAGACTCCTCCGATGCATTGCACAGTGAGCTAACCTGCCGAGAGTCAGATCAAAGAAGCCGCTGATGCAGACAGTGAAATCTTTTTAAAATACATCTGTCGTGTTTTCAGCCAGTACCCTGTTTCTTCAGGGACAACATGTTTGGGTTGTAATGTATGATACATAGTGGCTGTGACACTCCATCACATTTTTACTTTTTCAAAATTTTTTTTGATATGAGTGATTAATAAGCAATGTCCTTTTACTGCAGCACTAAGTGTGAAGCAGTGTCAAACTGTCTCCCCTCTTGTATCCAGCTAACAGAGAGCAATCAGACACTCCTGAACATATTTTCATATGTTCAAAAAACATCCAGCCAATTTGGTCTTGACGTGAGCTCACATTATTGCAAGAGGTAACAGGGCAGACCTAATAAAATGAAATGAAGTGACATAAAAAGACCCATTATGCTGTCAATCCACATTTGTATGTTCTTGTTAATGACTTGAATCTTAAAACAGGGGTTATTACAAAAGTGACTCTTGCTGTCACCTGCTGCTAAGAGAACAATTTACATTAAAACAATTTATGGATATGCAGTTTGAAAATTGCTAATACAGAAAGAACAAAGCTCTTAAGTTCTCATTACATAAGAGCTGAGCTGTTTTGATTCCACTTTTTCCCTGTTTTATATATTGCTTCCCATTTGTAACAGAAATCCTTAAAAAGGAAGGACACAAATGAAAATGAAGTGAATTTCTCTAATGTTTCAATTTAGCTTCAAATATACACTGATCAGCCTTAACATTATGACCATCTGCCCCACACTGTGTACACAGGAGCCAATGTGACAGCTGGTTGGCACGCATGCCACTGCAGCTCAATGTGCATCTTCTGTGAATCTGTTTGCTTCCATAGTTCTATTGTCAGGAAGAGCTCTAATGTGTCGACCATTCAGTAAAAACTTGTGTAAAAGCAGTGAAAACTGTGATCATGAGGACAAGTTAGAGATAATCTTTTAGATAAATACAACACCCTCCCCGCTCTAGGTGTGATACCACCAACTTAAAAGTTTAATCTACAGTAGTCGACCTCATCATCAGTGATCCTTGGGCGTCCGTGACCCTGTTGTTGGTTCAGTGTTTGTCCTTCCTTAGACACTGTTGGTCAGTACTAACCACTGCAGACCAGGAACACCCAGCAAGACCATCAGTCTGGGAGGCACTCTGACCCAGTAGTCAGCCATCACAGTCTGGGAGACACTCTGACCCAGTAGTCAGCCATCACAGTCTGGTCCTTGTCAAAGTCACTCAGATCCTTACGCTTGACTGTTTTTCCTGCTATCAACACAACAACTTCGAGGTCTGAATATTCACTTGCTGCCTAATATACCCCACACAATGACAGGTGGCACTGTAATGAGATAGCCAATGCTATTCACTTCAGCTGTCAGTGGTCATATTGTTATGGCTGATTGGTGTATAGCCAAGGCTATGATCAAGAATCATACTTGTGTGAACCACAAGCTAACATTGTTCAGCGGAGGCAGTGCAGTGTGACAGCATAGGGCATTTGTACAAAGGGGAGGGAGGAATAACAATTACTTACCACTACTACTACTATTTGTCACATGTTCTTGATCTCTTTTCAAATAAAATCTCTACATGAGAGTATTGCATCCACAGAATTCTGGATGTAACCTTGGATTTCAGCATCATTGGCATTTGTAAAGGATCAATAAAAATCTCTACTGGAGGTCTTCAAAGACGCAAAATTCAAATCAGACTCTAGACAAACTACTAGAGTGTGACATGCATAAACTGAGAAAGGCTTGATCTGAGTAGACTCAAGGATAATCAGACCTCATCTAAAATGCCTGATCCCCGGCAGATTCAAATACAGGGAAAACACCGACACTGGCAGCAGCATGATGTGCCACCAATAAATGAACAGCTGCCATCCAAAAGAGCAGTGATACATAGTTTTTCCTAAGCATCACAGTTCACATTCTCCATCTGCCTCGAAAACCAGATTTCTACTGCAATAGTTACAAAGGTTTAAAGCTCATAGCAAGTCCACTGGGATCTAGATGAGAATTAGACATGTTTATACACAGATCTGAGACCTACACCAATTTAACAAGACTCTTCCTGACTTGATTAAACTAAGCATAATTTGTACCTGGCTTGACTTGGATAGAGGGCTGGGACCCATTTACTAGAAACCAGAATAACCCACAATGACCTCAACTCTCCACACTGCTGAGAGCTGATACCTACGCTTGATATGACTTGACAGGGGGCTATTTTCCAGACTACAGTGAAAATGATGTTATGTAATAAGTAAGTTAATATACTAGATGTGTATTTTGTGCTAACTTGTATACCTTAATCTCCTGGGGATGCGATGAAAAACATTTGATCTTGCGAACAGCCTGCGTCCCCCTCAGCACCAGTGATTGACAGCTGCGCTGACCAGTCACACAGCTGACATCGATCCGCTCCAGAAAATGCACATAAATCTGCCATATTTGGGAGGGTGCTGCCATCCACTTGTCACTACAGAGAAAAATATCATCAGGAACAATTAAGCTGAGGCCCCTTGGAGACGCAGTGGGAGCAGTATGAGGATGGAGATAAAGAGGGTTGATCTATGGCTGTGCTACCATTTTAATAAGCAGCAATATCCTCTCATCATAACTGTCCTCGTCGTCTCACTGCTAAGACAAAGTAAATTCAGTCATGGTGGCCCTAGCTGGCTCTGAGAGATGTGAGTGGGAGGCAGTGTAGTCATCTCCTCAGCCCTGCACCGTGACAATAACACTCAAGGAGCATCTGGGGAATGTCTGGAATACAGCTCCAGTGATATGGGTTGCTGGAGATGCTGAAAAAGTGATATTTTCAGATTTCTGCTTTTGTATGTTGAAAATGCCATACTATACTGTAAATGTTAGGACTGAATTGCACGAAGTGTTTGTTTAATGCTTTATTTAACAGGTCTTACAAACTAGGCAAAACAGGACTTTCCTGGGACCCTGGTCCCAAACTCTCAGGTTCACTGCATGCCAGTTGGAGTTATTAATTGCATTAATGGGGAGGGGGAATTTGAACCACCAAAACAAAATATCAAAAGAATGATCCTGCATCAGAGTTCAAAGTGGAAAGCAAAGGAAGAATTTAGTTGTACAAGGAAACGTGTCTCTTTATTGTGCACATGACAATAGATGCTTTGAACCTTTGAACCTAATCTGGTGGCCCTGTAGGTACCATGTGCAAAATTCTGACTGTATTTTTAAATTTATGTTGTGCTCATATAGTAAATACTGTACTGCTAATAACTGTATAAATTACCACAAAAAAACTGACAAACACTTGCAGCAAGGTAAAATTACTATAGCATAGAAGGGCTGCATGACATCAGTCATATAATAAAGCCACTATAAGTCTGCTATATGCACTGTTAACCTGCAAAATGAAATGTAATGCAAACATAGCAGTATTAGTATATAAGACAACTCCACAGGGTGCCTAAAAGACATTTCAATAAACAACCAATCTAACACAGATCAGCACTGCAGCAACCACCCAAAGCTTCATTGCACCCATCATATCACAGCTGAATGATATGTTTCTGACATTTAATAAGAGGCTCACATTGGCCCTACATATTAACAAACCAACACATAATATTGATGTAATCCTGCTGGAGAACTGGGAGACTGGAGGACAGGTTCTATAACTTCAGGCAGTCAGATCATCAAACCTCCATCTGATTAGTTAATTAATTCAAGCCTCTGTGAACAATTTAATTAGTTCAAAATAGAATGCATCTTCAGGCTAAGCTGTGTATGTGTGTGTGTGTCCACTGAGTACAGTATGCCTGTTCAGTAAAATAAATAAATAACTAAATACATACGTGAAAACCATCACAAAGAACATTTTTATTTGTGGACTTGGACTCCCTGGCACTTTCAAGTACACATCCTGAGGCTCCCCTGGCACCTAGACAGAAACAGAGTGAAGGGGGAAAAGGCAAAATACAGTAAACGAAACACATGATAGATCATTAAAATGTACGGCATCCTGAAAGCGTTTGGTGCATCAAAACTTCAAATTCACAACACACGAACTGAAATAAAGTATAGGAAACTGTGTTGATGCTCTTAGTTCAGTAATTAATATACTGTAAGTCTGTAAGTGTTAATATAAGTCTGGAGTATTTGTAATGGGTACTGACAGATGTGAGAAAACAATCTCAGTGTCTCACCAGCATCCTGGTCTGGCAGATTATATTAGGGTCACTGCAGCGTACGGAAATGTGAGTCCCAGCATCTGGGTCTCCAACTGGTGAATCCAACACCAAGAAATAGAAAAAAATGGTTAACATATAGACAGGTACGGTTTTAGCTACATGGTGTAATTAAGTAGTTTTTTATGACAGGGATCATTTTTAAACACAAGTCTAATATTATATATCTTATAGATACATGCTATTTTCTTTACTGTATCCATTCCATTTTTTCATGGTTTTCATTTCCGGTTCTATTTCCAGGTGCATCTCTGTTGTTATTATCCTTTGTGTGGCAGAAATTGTATTATTCCTTAAGATTGTTTATGCTGATATTTTAGTAAAAAACACAATAAAATGAAGGTAGAATACATTATTCATTCTCATACGCCCACTCCTGTTGTATAAATATGTTATTGTATTTGAGTATCTGCATTTTTATGTATGTATTTACGTATGTGTGCTAAGTCAGTGTATCGTACCTACTGAAGGTGGAGGTGCTAATCATAAAGCCAATACTAAAAATGCAATTTTATGTAAATTAATACAATGGAATAAATGTCATATGAAACTATCTAGTCTAGACACAGACACGGGAGGCTAGAGGAGCTGTGGCATAGGGAGTAACAGCTGATGAGGGATAACTGGGACAACCTTCTTTACCTGCAGGGTCGTGCCAGGGCGGCAGGCGGATTGCCTTTTTAAGGAAACAGAGCTGAGGGTGGTAAAGCCGGAAAGTCTGGTCGATAACATGGGGTGTTGGTGCCACGTTGAACTGGCAGATGGCCATTGGTTTGCCATCTTCTGCTGTGAATGTAACCTGTGGAAAGAAAGTCAGCAGTATCAGCAGCATGGCTCTCTACTGCTTGATACTAGATTTCTAGGGCAATAACAGAGAATTTAGTTCATCACAGGGCAGAAAAATCCTCAATGAAGCTAAAGTAACATTCACAGCTGGGTTAGAAGCTCTTTAAAGAGACAGTAGTAGAAACTGGATCGTTTCTTTGTAGCTTAATCCATGTGTTAGTGCCTTAATTTGCATTTACTTGTAGGTTGTGAGCAGTCATTGATGTTTAGATGTTTTTTGAATGACCAATTGTGTGTATGTATGTGTATATATATATATATACATAGGACCAAGATTATAGTGTATAATTTAGGTTTAATTTTAATTTTTTTTCTTTGTGTGTGTATGACAGAGAACCTCAGACAATACTGGTCCTGTGTCATTAGACATTTAGAAAAAACCCATACTCATATTCCTTGACCCTCTTTAGTGAAATACAGAATTGCCAAGTTTTCTTCCTAAGGCAGTTCAACTATAAATATATGCTGCTTTATTAAAAAAGTCTTTGAGAAGTTTTATTTAAAAATTCACAAGGGAGTCTATCACTGCTATCTATTGATAGAGCACCCTGCACACTAGAATAAAAAAGCTGGCCTCAATCCGACTACTGAAACCCCCCACAGACCTGCCAAATGCACTTTGAAATGCCTGCATTAAAACAGATTTCTGGTTCTTAGTAAATCAAGACAAATATGTTCATACATTTGCACTAATCACATATGATTACATACAATAGCTGGTACGTATATACAGTACAGATACATCAACATATGCTAATCCATTGGAATTGCTAATCCTCTCATGTACCATTATACACTGGCTTGATTTGTATGTATTTTACAATGCTATATACTAAAGTGGAATTTAGGAATTATAGAATAAATGTAACTGAGTTGCAGGATATGAATGTTGCCAAAAAAGCATAGTATAGTATTATTTATTGACTATGTCAAACCATACATTGGTTCACAACTATTCAGGGGAAGAGACAAGTTAGCAATGGGACATGGTCTATAAGTTTGTCTAGGCCTCATTTGGTTTCCATGTAACTAATGGACAATTTATCATAAAATTTGCTAATGATATTCATGGTCCCTAGAAAACAATACTCATGATTGTGATGACCTCCTAACTTTACCCATAGAGCCAGTGCCAGGTCAGAACTTCTCTGTGACCAACACTTTAGTCCAAGACAACTGAAATCCAATGTAGATATTCAGGTCAGCAGTGTATGAACCCTTATGTTCTGATTAACTGCCTGCACTATAGTGCCTCAAACAGGCCAGCATTTCCACTTGTACAAATACATTTTGAGTAGATTACAATAAATTAATGAACACATCTCTCCTCCCAGGGCATTTCAAGAGTTTTCCTTCTTAAGCCAAAAAGTCAGCTTTCCATACAGAATACTGTATGTCATGATCTTAACAGCAGATTGCTTTCAAATTCACAGATCTTATGGCCTTTACACCACAGACACTAGTAGAAGAAACTTGGCAGTTTTAAGACCCCGGAATACTCTTTAGAGGGAATGCTAGAAGAAGCTAAAATTATTCTTTGTGGTTTGTTCTTACCATCACTCTCATTACATACTGAGGTCCAATAAACACTGCAGCCTCTAGTGATCCAGTTGGAGCTGTACAATGGTAGTCTTGCTTATTTGATTGCAAGATGTCGTAGCAACATTGGTGAAAGTAATCAGATGTAAAAGTAGTAAGAAAGCAATCAATGTAAAATACTGTTTCCAAATCACTGCTGACAGATTAGTAGTAAGGTTCAGACCAACCAGGTGTTCTTTTCAACAACACTCTTCAGGCGTTCTACAAGCCTTCTTGGGGGAACTACTCACAATTAATCATAGTAGCATTCAAGTATTAAAAAAATAAAGGCAGGGGAATTCCTACACTGTAAAAACAAAGTCCTTACTTTATGGCTTGTGTATGAAAATGTTAAGAATGTGTTTGGTGTGGAAGAACTTGAACGGCTTGCATAGAACACTGACCTCAGCCCCATCCAACACTTTCGGGATAAACTGGAACACCGACTGCGAGCCAGGCCTTATCACCCAACATCAGTGCCTGACCTCATGCATAATGCACTCGTTGAATGAGAGCAAATCCCTGCAGCAAGTTACCAAAGCCTTCCAAAAGGAGTGGAGGCTGGCACAGCAGCATATTAATATGACAACATATGGGTGTGATGTTGAGATGTCCACTTATTTTGTTTCAGAGGTTACATAGTACAAACTGTAGTTTCATTACAATTAAAACTGACAAATCTGAATGTAGAAAGTTAACTTTCAATATTTTGGACATTCCATCCACAAACTCACAGAAGTTGATCCCTGTCAAACAGCTGCTGTCTAAATCATTGATGCGTCTGATTTTCGGGCCCACATTGACCTGCACGAGTGGCTCATATCTGACTGTGTTGATGTGTGCTGACTGACAGCACTGCCAAAGCTGGCATCCTGACAGCCCTGCTGTTGGGGCTTGTCAGATTTAGCGGGATGCAGATTTGATCCAGACCTGACCTTCTTGACCTCTTGACAGGATTTTTGCTCAGAGCAGCAGTACTGAGACTGACACACATGAATGCACACAAACCCTAGGACACACAGACGCTTGGCAGACTGGCAAATATTTCATCACACTGTGCAACAGGAGAGCTTCAGGGTACTGTACTCGACATGAACAACAGGATTATTGTGAGGTACTATAAGTTAGCAAGCAGTGATGGATATTTGTTTTTAGAGGTATAAAGCCATGTGCCAATAATGTAAACACGGATTTAAGTTCATGTCTGTCTGAGCAGGCTGACATCACATTTTAAATAGATTCATAAGGAACAGACGTTAACCTGGGTGACAAACATAGTATATAGGGGCTGCAGAGCACATTACACCATGTGGACATATAGAGCACACGGTCTTATCTTCAACTAATCCAATTAATCACATTCACATTGCTTCTCCATCTTCTATGCTTTTTACATATTATAAATGGTTGAATAAGTTCTTAAAATGAGAATATCACTTCAGAGTAATACGCATGATTCATTTATAGTAGAATAGCCAGATGTGTCAATCTGTCCTCCAGTTGTAGACAGTTTAACAGTCCAGCCTGAAGTTTGCCAGTTGGAGAAGATAAAGAGTGTTCAGTAAGATAAAAGTGATTTCTATCTTATATTTTAGATTGATAACCTTGTCTGGTTTTTGTAATTTTTTTAAATAGTTGATGCTTCATGTGTTCTTTGTGTCTGAGTTGTGACTGTGTGGGAGAAGACGGTGCACTGCCACTCCACAGAGACTTGGCTGGGATTGTGTGTGTAATCTAGATGTTGTTAGACTTAAAGATGTGGCAGGACTAAACTCCAAATCAAAAGCTTTATAGTATACAGTGAGTTTAGGTGACTCTCTTCCTTTACTCTCTTGAATCTAGAAATCAATTTATAAGCCTAAGATGCTAAAATGTTTTAAATGGACTGTATTAAGGCTCTTATCATGGCAGAAAAACACATCTGCTGGACATCCACATTGCACCTCAAAGCTTATTCGAATTCCAGCCTGGAAACAAATTAGAGACTGGAAGGCAGAAGATTTCAGATGGAGATAAAAATACACAGAAATACAGCATGAGGCATAAGTAGCACATTCTGTACCTTGATAGTTTTGGCAGCAACAATATTAGACAGATTCTTCTTGGCCACTTGAGAACCTTTGCCTGTAGGTAGGAAGCTCGGCCCCTGTGAAGATTTGATAAGAAATAGATTGTTATTAAATCTTAACATCTACCAAAAACAGCAAATGATCTCAAAGAAAGTATTTCATCTGCCCACAGGTAAGTAAACTGTAATGATCACAAGAAGCGGAATACAACCAAAGGCCATAAAACCTTCAGTGAGGTATCAGCACAGTCTATGTATTAATACATTTATTTCAATCTTGTGTCAAATTAACTGTCAAGTATGAGTTGACTTTAGGTGTAAACTTGTCCTTGAAATAGATCAACTATGGTTAAGTATGATCTTCTAACTGCTCCACCAAGGAGTCTGGTTCAGTGTCCAGACTGGCAGGATTAAATCCGGGTGGGACAAGTGAAAAAGCTGTGTTTACTAATAAAAGTAAATAAAGGTTTTTATAAAATGTCAGCATCATCCTCTGGTCCTCACTGCACCTGAAGGGCCATACTGTGGTCGCAGAAGAAGCTCTGGTATTTCAGGGGAATGTGGATGCTCTCTTTGGGCCGGAGGTAAACCCTGGGACCCGGGGCACCCGTCTCCAAGTGGAACATGTTCTCCTCCAGCGGGGTCAGAGTTTTGGTTAGTGCTTTAAAGTAACGCCATTCTTCAGTGTTAGTGATGACACTGAATGGAAAGATCAAATGGCATAAGTAAGATGAAAGCAGGCTCTTCTGTATGTCTTTTGAGGGATCCATTCAGGATCTGAGTCAGACACATTCAAAAATAAAAATCTAAACCCTGCAATGTTCATGACATACTATGATAAGATAGTGTTGAATACAACAACATGCTGATGGTCTTGCTATCCTTTGGATCTTAACAGCAGTTTGGCTAAAACATAAAGTACATAAATTTATGCAAATTTTGCATCACTTTGTCTTTGTATGAATAGCCACAAAGTATTGGCTATTTTACCTAAACATGATGCTGCACTTTCAGTATAATAATGACACTAAATGATTTCTTGTTTGCCTCTCAGTCCTGTTGCTGACAAAGTCAAACTGTATGTCTCCAGTATTCTACTACTTTCTCTGTACATGTAAAGCCGCTGAAATAATGAAAAATAGCAGTGAGATGGAAGGAGTGACTTTTCAAACATAAGGTGGTTATGTATAATTCATCTGGAAGAGAATCACTAATTAAGCTTTAAGAAAACTAAAAGGAATCATTCAAGCCTGAATCCAGGTCTGTAAGTAATGACATAAAAAGAAATAAGACTGATGCTCGTCTTCTCATCTGCAAAATGTTGATCTATTCCTTTTTAATAATATAGATTTAGGAATAAAATTATTATTGTGATATGTTTTCTGAGTTTTGTGCAAACTAAGTGCACAAATCCAGTACACCGGTACTGGTTGTCAGTGCAGCTGTGTAATGGTGTGATATTATAAAGAAGAGAGAAATAATAACCTTTATTTTTTATGTGTGGCCATGGGAAACTGTGGTAAATGTTCCTTGCAGCAATGCATCTGTAACAATACTGCAGATATAGTAAAGACAAACACTGCCCTCCTCCCATTTTTACAGCGGGAAGAATCTTACTGACTGTAGCAAACAGCTGGTCACAGTCAACCAGCTGACACACAAAACACAATGCTGTCTTTTTAATCACCAACAGTAGCTTTCATAAAAGTGTATAGAGGTCAGTGAGAACCCCCCCTCTCCTAACACCCAACAAATAGATGTTCAAGGGCAAAGCAAAGGGAACAGGTAACACATGCCAATGGGGGTAGGTCTTGTCTCCACTCTGTCCTCTCCCTTTGAATGCAAAAATGTCACACACCAATTCATAAAAGGAAGTGCTGCTTTACACTTCAAATGTTCCAAACCATTGTAAGGGGAACTGTTCCCAAGAGACTGAGAGTTTATGAACTTTTCAGGACCCTGCCTTGCTAACATTAGGACAAGATGCAAAAGTCAATTCCTTGAAATACATTTGGAGCTTCCCACTTGTGCACTTTGAATAAAACACTTTGCCTGTGGCTCATCATAATAACAGAGAATCAACCATTGATTAATTCGGCACTGCAGATCTACAGTAAAGTACCACAGTGTCATAAAGTCGAAAAGTGTTCGGGGCAGTGCTGTGCTTAGCGAACTGTGTCAGTCTGACTGAGTTAACTGAATGTGATTCTTAATACTCAGAGTAGAATATAAACAAGTTAAATGCATAAACCTCTTTCTTAGTTTACACTTTTTCAGGTAGAGGTGGCAGACGGTTTGGTGTTAAGCGTCACGCTGCCATCAGGAAATAAATAAATTAATTAACAGGGTGCTAAGCCGGTGAGAGGACAGATGTAAGGATTGATTACTTCCCATTAGACCTACAGGCCTGTTGGCCAGGCTTATGCCATAATGATTCATCCACAGTGGACTCAAGCTTTTGTTGATCAACATGATATATGCTAATCCAGAGCTCAGGCGTGAGCAGAATCCATAACAAAAGACTTAGTGTTGGGGGATTAACAATAATGCTAAGTGAAGAAACAAACATGGATTTGATACCATAATGGTTGCTATATATGGATTAAAGGGGGTATTTCACATCTCACCAACATTATGTCTGCATCTGTGTCAAGGACAAACGTTTGTGGTACTGAAGGAGCAAGAATATTCTTGTTCATATAGCTTGTGTGTGAAAAACAGAGTGAAACCTAAAAATATAGTACTGGGTGGGTGCTAACAGTCCTACAAACTTTAGAATATATCAGTTTTATTTATGCAGACATACTGTATGCGAGATGTATCTGGAAATGTGGCTGCAATTTGTAATGAGAAACTAAACATGTATCTCATTTATTCAAAAATAAAGAAACATCTCAAAACTGTGGAGAAATTTAAAATGCGTAAGGTATGCATACACCTACAAAACATGCCATGCCAAGGTTGGTGGACAGATGTCACAGTGCTACAGAGGACATATATCACAGGCCTAGAGTCTCTTGTTATCAGCTGCAAACCCTTTTACCCTCCCTGTGAATTCAACAGTTTCATGCTAATGGGAGTGTACATAACACCGCAGGCTAACGCTAGTGCGCTACGGCTCCTAGCAGAACTGATAACTAGCCTGGAGCTAGAACATCCCGACTCTCCACTCATTGTTCTAGGGGACTTTAACAGAGCAAATCTCACCCACGAACTGCCCAGCGACAGTGGGGAGGAAAAACTCCCTTTAACAGAAGAAACCTCCCACAGACTGGAGTGTATTTGAGACTGCCTTCTGCCTCGACTGCTTGGGGTGAGTGGGTAGAAAGCAAAGCATCAGAACACAACCAGACACTGGGCAGGTTGATATATTTGGTGCCTGTTCAAAACCAATCAGCTCTGGGGCCAGGGACACCTGGAGAAAGGTACAGCGAAAGAGAGGAGACAAAAACTAGTGAACAGGTTTTTAAGTACAGCCAGGCAAGGAACACACTGACAAGGGAGATCAGAGCAGCAAAGAGGAGCTACTCAGGAAACCTGAAAGCTCAGGTTTCAGCCAATGACCCCTCGTCTGTGTGGGGGAGCCTGAAAACCATCACTGGCTATAGAAAACCCTCCCCCCCTGCTGTGGAGGACCGTCAACTAGCAAACGACCTGAATGTGTTCGACTGCAGGTTTGTCAGTTAGGCATTCACAGGCCTAGAGTCTCTTGTTATCAGCTGCAAACCCTTTTACCCTCCCTGTGAATTCAACAGTTTCATGCTAATGGGAGTGTACATAACACCGCAGGCTAACGCTAGTGCGCTACGGCTCCTAGCAGAACTGATAACTAGCCTGGAGCTAGAACATCCCGACTCTCCACTCATTGTTCTAGGGGACTTTAACAGAGCAAATCTCACCCACGAACTGCCCAAATACAGGCAGCACGTCACCTGTCCTTCCAGGGACAAAGTCACACTGGACCACTGCTACACAACAATAAAAGACGCCTATCACTCTGTCCCCTGTGCAGCCCTCGGACTTTCGGATCACTGTATGGTCCATCTTATTCCAACCCACAGGCAGAAACTTAAAGCTGCGAAGCCTGTGGACAAAACAGTGAAGAGCTGGACTGAGGAGGCTAAGTCAGAGCTACAGGCCTGCTTTGA